CGTGGCTGCTTCCAAATGGGTAATTATGTGACACATGAATTAATCAGTTGGTCAATTTCTAGACGTTAATCGACACTTCAGAACATTTTACTATGTTCTGCATGACACTCCAAATGACTCCAAATGAGAAGACAGAGGTGAGGGAACTCGAGCCATGCATTCCTAAATAATGTCTCTGTGAGGAGAAAATTGTTTAGAAGATAAAGAAACTCACAACTCAGATATCTATTTTTTACATGCGCATGGGCGGTCACGGTCCGATCTGCTCTGCACCAAGTGTGCACAACAGATGTGACACAGGGAAACCGCCCAGGGCTTTCAGAGCATCCTTTATTTATACTTCAAATGAGCTTTCAAGGAAGTAGGAGTGGCATGTTCAGAATACAAAAACATTTCCATAAAAGGAGAAAACTGTTCACTTGTCTGCTGAAACAGGAGGTAGCTTGGTATGTATAGAAATTCAGACATTCCCATAAAAGGAGAGCGAGACCGTTAGCTTGTCTGTTAACACAGGAGGTAGTATCATATGTCACTGCATTCTTCTACACATATGGCTTCACTCTCTTTTCCTGTGGTGGTTCCAATTCACAAGCTCTTCTTCCTTTAAATGAAGCTACAACTAAACATAATTCACAAAATTAAAAATCTTTCACCATTCCCTCCTGTTTGTAGCTGAAATTAAAAAGATACATCAATGTGTTTCAGACACAGACCCTACATTGTGAGTGCTTTCAGTCTGGTCATCATAAAATGTGTATCATTCAAACATAATCATTCATCACATTAGTTCCATACTCATCGTCTTCTCCTTCTTCCTCGTCTGGCACAATGACATATGCAACAAGAGATTGAGATATCATTCTTGATACCATTCCTCTTACAGGGGATAAGGGGATTGCAGGGGATAATGCATGTAGTAAAGATACAAAACATGATAAGTATTAGGCCAATAAACATCAAAACCTTAAACATCAATGTTCTCCATGAGCCGCTCATAAACCAATCCCACCAATTACTTTGTGAATTTGCCCAATCGGTTACCTGTGCCTGTTGAACATTTCTAAGTAATTGTAGAGCATTTGTCATATTATCAGAAGGCACATTGTCTGGAATATATGTACAACAAGTTGTATTGAACAAAACACACAGTCCACCCTTTTCTGCCAAGATCATGTCCAGAGCAACTC